AGGACTTTCAGCTTCCCATGCCCTGCCAGCGAGAAGCTGGGAGGGGGCACAGCCAGGACAGCTGACCCAAAGTGGCCAAAGGGCTATTCCATACCATGTGACGTCACGCTCAGCACATAAACTGGGGGCAAGCTGGCCGGGGGGGCCGCTGCTCGGGGACTGGCTGGGCATCCGTCGGGGGGTGGTGAGCAATTGTTTTTCATTTGCATCACTTGTCTTTCTTGGGTTTTATTTCTCTTTTTGTTATTTTCCTTTTCATCACAATTTTTTGTTATTGTTAGTTATTATTATTCTATTTCAATTATTAAACTGTTTTTATCTCAACCCATGAGTTTTCTCACTTTCACCCTTCTGACTCTCTCCCCCATCCCACCAGGGGAGAGTGAGTGAGTGGCTGAGTGGTGCTCAGTTGCTGGCTGGGGTTAAACCATTGACACGAGTGTTGGCATAACTCCATTTTTCTTCAGGCAAACTTGATACTCAGATCAAAATGCTGCTTCATACAGCTTGAAATACCAAATAAACTCAACATGGGTCTGTCATAATAGTAGTTTTTTCACATTTTAGCCAAGAATGTCAATACTTGGTATAAAGATATCTGCTCTGTAAGACTGTAAAGACTTGCTCTTGGATGTTGAAAGTGGAGAGTGGCCTGTCAAACCCTTCCCTTTTGGAAGGATGACCGCAACAACTGTAAATCAGAGCTTCCTCTGAAGGAAGAAGAATCTGCAAGGTGTCTTCAGGCAGAAGCTAAAACCTGGGCCTCTTTGGGGGGTTGGGTCGTAAGACCCAAGCCTGGCATGGGTTTGTGGGCCTGTCTGATCAGTGTGTTCGGGAGCCATGACCCCTGCCGTCTGGGGTTTTCTGTACGTCACAAGTTCCTCCCAGGCTCTTTGAGGAGATGATAGTGCACACAGCAACTGGACTGTCCGATCTTTGCCTTCAGCTTTTTTAAAGTAAAAAGGAGGTGGTGGTCCCAGTTTGTCTTATTCTTTATCCTCGGTGCAGAGCTGTTTTGAGAAGCAGCATTTGTCATAGTTTTAGTATGGCATTCAGGTCCTGGTTATGAGCCAGGACCAGAGGAGTGGGCATTAACTGAAATGCAGGAAGGTCTATCTGAACATTGGGAGATGCTTTCTCACTGTGAGGGTGACTGAGTGTCCTGGTTTCAGCAGGGATAGAGTTAATTTCCTTCCTAGTAGCTGGTACAGTGCTGTGCTTTGGATTTAGGCTGAGAACAATGTTGATAACACATTGATGTTTTCAGTTGTTGCTAGGTAGTGTTTATACTAGTCAAGGACTTTCCAACTTCCCATGCTCTACCGACTGAGAAGGCTGGAGGAACACAAGAAGCTGGGAGGGGGCACAGCCAGGACAGCTGACCCCAACTGGCCAAAGGGTTATCCCATACCATGTGACATTCCATACCATGTGACATCATGCTCAGTATAAAAGCTGGGGGAAGAAGAAGGAAGGGGGGAATGTTTGGAGTGGTGCTGTTTGTCTTCCCAAGTCACCATTACGCGTGAGGGAGCCCTGCTTTCCTGGAGATGGCTGAACATCTGCCTGCCCATGGGAAGTAGTGAATTAATTCCTTTGTTTTGCTTTGCTTGCGTGCGTGACTGTTGCTCTACCTATTAAACTGTTTTTATCTCAACCCACGAGTTTTCTCACTTTTACCCTTCCAATTCTCTCCCCCATCCCACTGGTGGGGGGGTGAGCGAGCGGCTGCGTGGTGCTCAGTTGCCAACTGGGGTTAAACCACGACACTGAGCACAGAGACAGGTTGCCCAGAGAGGTGGTGGATGCTCCATCTGTGAAGATCTAAAGCCATCTGGACATGGTCCTGGGCAAGCGGCTCCAGGTGGCCCTGCCTGAGCAGTGGGATTGGACCAGATGACCTCCAGAGGTCCCTTCCCACCTCAGCCACTCTCTGATTCTGTGGCCTCTGACCACAAGGGCTGTAGGTCCTTCTCTGCTTCTTTGGAGTAGTTACATGAAAAGCAGCTGATGATTAGTGTTCCTGTTTGATATACTTGACTGTGGTTAGGCTCAGGCAGGCTGTCCCTTTGTGAGTTCTTAGATGAATGAACTTGTGAGTTATTTATCTCTGAGCTAGAGGCATGAGGCTAGAGATGAGCAGACTGTTTTAATATCTGGAGCCTTTTGCAAATTAGGATGATTCATTAACTCCGTAGATGTAGCTTAGCCATTTAAACTCAAGGCCCTGACTTTTCATTTGTCTTGTTGCTTAGCGATACCTGCTTGCTTGCTTGTTCTAGAGCTAAATTCAAAGAGGAGACCTCTACGCATTAGATACCTGTTCTGCAGTGCTGCTCTCAGCAAGAGTAGAAGTATCCACAGAAATTGTTCAGCCAGTTATCAGAATACTGGCAGCTTATTTGCTGAGCATCTTCTTCTGCTTTCTGAAGCTGCTGATGAAATAATCTAACACACCTAAGGCAAATATAAGTTACAGAACAGACTGTTCCACAGCAACGACACGACCTGTACCTCTCCTTGCTAGCAACACCAATGAAGTGTTTGCTATAGGCTCACCACTGATGTGGCTCAAAAGCCTGCAAATGTTCATACACTGTCATTGTTCTGACATAAAAGCTCTCAACAACCAAGTTGAAAGATAGGCTGCTGACAAATTAGCCAAATAAATGAGGTACATAAAATTGCAAGATGGAGTTTGCAGTTTCGGTTGTGTGTGGAAGTAATAGCCTGTGGAAATAGCAGCCTGAGAAACGTATGCTGCAGCAGCAGTCTGCTTGTCAGGTGCTTGTGTTTCATTCACAGCAGATATTTCTAGAGGAAGCATGAATGGGAAACCTGATTTTAGTAACACAGTTGATTTTTTTGAGGTTATTTGCTGTGGACTTCTTTTTCTTTCTGGTGGTGAAGCAAGGTCAATTTGTGCTTCAAACTTGCAATTGAAAATCCCTCTTCTAGCAAATTAGACCTGTGGTGCTCAGCGACGGATGTTGTCTGTGGGAAGCAAATACCTTCTTTTCTCCTTTCCACTTTCTCCTTTTTACTCCAAATGGATCACGAGAGGCTGATGGCAGACCCAGCAATGGGCAGTGCTGTAACTGGCCATAGCCTTGTGTATTCTTTCCCTCCCCACAACAGCACAGTGGCACCGTTCCAAGTTCCCAGTGCAACAGCACAGGCTCTGGAGGAGCAAGAGGTGTATGGGAGCATGTGAGCACTGTAGCTGGGGAGTAGAAACAAAGGGTTTAAGCATGTGAGGCAATTAATGGGACGTAACACCCTGTACCCCAGTAAACCGCTACTAACAAGCTTTGTAAAGACGACCTGAAAGCTTTGTCTGGATGTTTTCTGATCACCCGCATGCTTATCTGTGTGAGTGACCAAGCACAGCTGGCAGCTACTCCCCCTGTCTGCCTGTAGTGCTGTCGGTGGCATCCAGACAAAGTCTAGGAGCCCCTCTGTTGGAGGTGGTTTCCTGATGCCAGCTGTAAGACCACTTGAAGATTTCGTTCCTGCAAGTTAATTGCTGATTGTAAACACACTGAGCAGGACAGCGATGCAGTTCCAGAGCAGCTTATTCCATTCTTTTCTGTAATTTCTTCAGCACCGAGTCTGTCTTTGTGTTTAGCTCATGGTTGGATTTCTTGACATCAACAGGTGTCAAATGAAGAAAGATTGAATTTGTTTGGTATTGGATTGCAGTTAACTGTAATTGTCATATCCTGCCAGTCCTCTCCCTTTAGCTGTGGAGTTCTGTGGTGTGGGAGTCTCTATGGAGACAGGATTAGATGTGACTGTCTGGCACCACTTTCTCTTGGAAGGGTGTGCAACTTTGAGTAAAGACACTTGAATAAATTTCTGGAGGTGCCTGTTCAAAGCTTCTGGCACAGATGAATTTCTCTACACAAACTCTAGGAGAAGTTCTGTTTCTGTGCTGGTAAATTGGTTTTAACTGGTAGGGGAAAAGGAAGCAATGACAGTGTAATTGTAGAATAATTCAGGCTAGAAGAAGCCTCAGGAGGTCATCCAGTCTAGCCTGCTGCTGAAAGCAGGATCGCTTCCATATGAATGTATTTATAGACTGCTTTTGCTTCACATCCTTTTCATCCTCTTTCTTCTACTTGCTTAATCTCCAAGCAAACACGTATTTGGCAGTACCAGCCCCAGATGAGCACACTAAATGAGGTGAAGAATGAATGCATACAGATGGTGACTGAATTACTTGCACAGAAACTGTTGAAAAAAAAATGTAATCTTCAGCCAGCAGTCTCACCTGTGTGCTCTTAAGAGTCTATCTATATGAACTGCAGCATGTTTCCATGGTCTAAAGAGTGTGTCAAGATTAAGTATTCAAATTCTCCAGCTTCCAAAAAGAATAATGCTAGAATGCAACTGCTAAATACTGTTTGTCTTGTTATTGATGTGAATTTGTTTGAAAAACCTGGTCTATAATCCAGGGGACAGTATCAAAGGTAGTCGGTAGATTGTCCTTAAGCTTTTTTTGACACAGGGGAGATGTCACCTTTGTCAGCACTTGGCAGTCTTCCCTTTTAGCTCAAATACAATTTGAAGGGTATTTCAAAGGTTCCTGTTTTTTTAATTATCATTCCTGTTGCTTTTTCTGTTGTCCTCTTTCTCTATAGCACAATGTTTATAACTCTTAAGCTAACTGTTTGTCTGGGTGCTTTTAGCACATGACAGGAGTATAAAGCAAAGTGTCTGATGTGGCATAGAAGTCAGTGTAGCATACTTGTTGGCGTATTTGTGTAGAGCCCTTAAAAGGTCTGTGATTCTTGGCTGCTGCGGCCATGTAACTCATTTAATGAACTAGTCAATGTAAGCTGACTGGTATGTTTATAGAGATGTAACTAATGGAATGCTTATAAAAGCACATGTCTCTACTGAGATAAAATACATGCTTTTTTATAGCCCGTATTTGTGTTACTCAAGAGCACTTACTGTACTGATTAACTTCTACAAAATCAATTTATGTCTTACAGCTTGCCTTGAAGGGATCTAACTATGCTGGTCTGCTGGAGCGGCATCGCATTCATACAAAAAACGTGGAGCATGTTGTAGACAGTTTACGGTAAGAATGTATGGATGCTGAGAATTTCAGACACAGTGCAAATATCCATGGATTGTCTAAAACAACAAAAGGAAGCTTTGTGTTACAAGCTCTAATAAAATAGGAATACTGAAAATGAGAATGCAGATGAACAGTCATTCCTGAAACAATTGTAATGTGAACTAGCTCGGTTCAGTTAACTAACACACTACGTTATTATCTTGAAAACAAATGAAAAAGATGTAAAGGATTTGTGTGAGTGTCAAATTCTTATAAGCCAAATACCACTGTAATTAGTCCTTAATTACATGTCAGTTTTTCAGAAGGATGTGACAAGGAACAATATAGGACACATTCAGGCTTTTTCTGTACTTTATAGGAACGAGAGGATAGAAGTTCGTCTTGTTAAACGTCGAGAATATAATGAAGAGACAGTTCGGTGGGCAGATGCTATAATATCAGCAGGAGGTACGACTTTATGGAAGGGAAGTATTTGTTTCAGTATGTTTTCATAGATACATTTTTAAAAAATACTTTGCAGTGTGTGAAGCATCTGGAGGTATGCACATTTTGAAAACAAATTGCTTATCTAGTTGTCAGAAAATATGACAAAATGCAATGGTTGTGACCACCCTCTCTACCTCTAGTATCTAAAATTGTAACACTGGGAAGTGAATCCCAGTGCATGGCCACTTTGGAAATTTTTAATTGTCTTGTGTAAAACAGTATAAACTGTGGAATTTACTACAGTTTTCAGCTAAAGAGGATAAAATGCTTGCTGTCATGTGATTATACATAGCCCTAAACCCTACTCTGGTTTTTTGTATGTGAGGTGGAGACTAACATACTACCTTTTCCTCCCCTTGCTCAAACTGTCTGTCTTGCTTTCACACTAAATTCCAGTGACTGGAGTATGTAGTTGGATGGTACAGGTAAAAGTATGCAACTTCTGAGCAGCCTGTGCCACTGATAAGAGCTTTTGATAAGAACCAACAGAGTAACTAACCCGATTGTTTCTTTTTAACATTGGATCACAGCAGTGTTATTTTTGTGATTTGCTGCAAATACTGCAGCAGTGTGTTGCTGGGCTCTGACATAATGTTCAGTCGTCTGTGGCAGTTAGACTTGACCACTGCTCTGCCTTTCTCTCCTCCTCAGTGGTCCACTTTGCCCTTAGCTACTGGTTACCACGCAGAATGGGTAGAAAGGGATATGTGTACATTCCTGAAGCATCCTAATATACTCCTGCAGATTTCAAAGAACCCCTCTAAACTGGAGATTAAAGTGCCAATTTGGCTGTGGCAACATTTGTCACAGTTATGAAGCAAGCAGCTGGGAAGTGACACATAATCCGAGATTTTCAAAGCTTATACCTTGGTGCAAAGACTGATTCAGGTTATAGTTGTCCTCCTGTTTAACAGACAGGAAAGAATATCAATACCTGAAGAATCCAGTGACACTTAAAGATTTCTATTTCAACAGCTTTATCTAAGACTTCTTTTCCAAGTGTGCCTATCTGGGGCCAAATAAGACCTTTAAATTGTGCCTTCTAGGAGAACAACTGAGATGGAACTAAAGTCATTGTTTTCATGTGATTCACAGTAAAATTTGGTATTGTTTCCTGTCTCCTGTGGCTTTGATTGGTGATACTTTCTGAATTTATTTGCTTAAAGAATTTCTCTTACCAGCTGATAAACACACAGAAATTTCCATAAATCTCTTTTCAAACTTGTTTCTGCCCAATTCAGTTGGCCGGGCATGTACAGCTGTCGTAAGTTGTACTTTTTCCAGTCACATTTGCCATCTTGAATTCAGTTGTCACTACGCTGCTTTGAAAGGTGTCAGTAGTTTTGTGGTCCTGTTTTATTTTTGTGCAGCTTACCTGATGGGTTGTTGATATAAAAGCATGTCGTGGTAACACTGCAGTACATGTGAGACTATTTGGTTGGGGATTATAGAATGTGAAGTGAAACTAACTTTTGTTTTGCTTTTTCTGTAGGTGATGGTACAATGTTGTTGGCAGCCAGTAAGGTCTTTGATAAATTTAAACCAGTTATTGGAGTAAATACTGACCCTGAAAGGTAAAAACACATTTGGGAAAGCAATGCTTTATTTAATATCAGGCACAATATGCGTCTGTTTTCATGATGCATAAGGCATGCCTGTGGCATTTGGCAGCGTAAGTGTCTGTTTTAGTGGATTGTAGATATCAAGTGAACCTGTTGTTTTATTAGAAAAGTTTCCACAAATAGTTACCCTGTCTCATCTGAGAGGACATTAAGTAGTATTGGATAAGCATGACTGTGTTAAACTGCCACAGCTGTTTTCACACACCAGTGTAACAGCACTTGCAGCTAGTTAACTTGTATTACTAACCAGAAGTTTGAGGCTAGAGATGGCAGTATAGAACAGGGACAGGAAAAGGGACTTAACAACAGCAACTAAGTGTGTTGCCTGAACACACAGAAACTGGGTTTCTTTATGAAGAAGGCGAATCCTACTGGAAATCTGATAGGGCCTCAGATGAAGAAGTTTGTTCTGGTTTCTTCATGTAAACCATGTTGTGCCTCAGAGGACGCAGTCTCCTCAGACAGTTAATGGCATTTAGTTGTCCTGTTATAAACTCCACACAAGTTACATCCACCTAGCCATAAGACTGATTTGGGCAGGTGGATGCAGTGTACTAGTACTGCCTGGTTGGTATAACCTTCAAATGGATGGCAAGTAAAATTCAGAATTCACCAAGGCTCTGACTGCTGAGATTTCCAGATTTAGGTTTCTGTTTTTGATATTACCTGTTAATGTAATCTTAGTAGATAAGAAAGTGGTGGCCAAAAGTTTTAATTCCTTCCATACCTTACTCCTCTTCCAAAACTTTTCAAATGCTGTGAATAGATATTCTACAGTATCAAGCCTGAATAGCAGGATTCAAATAACAAGTGCCTTCAAGTTATCTAATATCACTCATGAAAGGGGAGCAGTGTTTAGTCTTCTGGCTTTGACATGAGATTCTTTCGATCTTAGGCATGTTGCTTACCTGTCTTGTACCATTAACTTGTGTGTAAATGGAGGAGAATTTCTTTCTAACTTGCAAGGTTTATTAAGCTTGAATTCCTTGCCTAGAACTATGGTGACAGGAACTATATTAGTACCTACATATTCCTGCAGGATTACTAGCTGAACAGCCAGTTTTTAGGGGAAATGTGGGAGGAATATCCTATGTCTCACACTCATACACCCCAGGAGCTGAAAGAGGTGTATTGTTGCTGATGTGCTATTATGTAAGAATAGTATAGGTTCATAAAGGTCAAAGTGTAGCTTTGCTTTATGTAACAGAAAGAGATGTTTAGTTTTGTTTTTTAAAGGTACCAAATCTTAATAGTTACACTGTCATTTTCATTGTCCTTTTTTGGTATCAGATCAGAGGGACACTTATGCTTGCCTGTGAGATACACGCACGCGTTTCCTGAAGCACTACAGAAGCTTTATCGTGGTGAGTTCAGGTAGGATTCACTGATCTTTGGTTTTCCAAAACATACTATGATTGGAAAATACTTAATGATGTGCAGTTCCTAAGGAGCAGACAATGCTTAGTGAAATCGTAATGCCTCAAATTCTGAATCCTCTGTGGGTGTTTACCACGTTGAAAAATGGGTTTGTGGTCAAGAGTGAGATTGGAATACAAAGGATAAAATTGACTGCCAGTTCCGGCAAAAAGACTTTTGTTATGACCTTCAATAATTGATTTTCTTTGCTGACTTAGCAAATTCATAAAGAAGGAACTGCATTCTTGTAAAGGGTGTATTGGTTTACATATTTTAACACTTGAAAGCATATGTAGTTCAGTGATGGGCCATACTAATAGAAGCTAATGAAGCCTATACAGTTAGGAAATGGTCAGTGCGTTGCATCTCGGGTTTTGGTGATTAAGGTAGAGTGGCTTGAATTTTGTTAACAGATTGGTATAAGACAAAGCTTTTCTTTATGCTGAAGATAGCTTGTTGTTTTCAATACTAGATATTCTTAAAATAGAAGAATTTCACTTGAATTAAGAAGGAAGCAAGCTGAATTTTAAAGGACAGACTAGGGAAGAGTTTTTTGATAACTATTTAAAAAGAGACATTGTTCTGTGGTGTATTAACATTCCAGAATATTTTCATGATGGCAAACCATCAAACAGAAATAAGTCATTCATGTGAAAATATATTGCAGTTGGGTTTTGCTTATATTTCTAGCATATTTAATTTGTAGCTTGAAGTGTAACTGTATTTGTGCCATAGAAAAGTTCTGAAATGAGGTGAATACAGTCATGATGATTGTTTATAAATAACTGGAGGGTTTTCAATAGGTATTGCTAAATGAAAAGGTACTTTCAACTCACATATTCTGAGACTTAGAAAACAGGAGTTTTTAACTCTCCATTGTGCTAAGTTGCTTAGGTGAAGCTGGTAGTGCTAATGCAGGTAACCTCCCTTGCTAATCTAGGCACTTCTAATGTTCTGTTGGATGCCATGTTATACTTTTGTTGCTGACACTCCTGGTGTTGCTCATTATGGAGCTGAAGCCTCACCAGAGTGAAACAGAAAGGATCTCCCTGGTTATTTCTCCAGAATAATAGGAACTGATATTCCTAAGCAAGGACTTGAGCGGGCGTTTCATTTGGCAGTTCTCAGATTTATTTGGCCCTAAGCAAACTTTAAAATAGGGGGGTAACTGGATCAGCCCATCTGGAAGAGCTTCTGGTGGCTCAGAGTTGCGTAAGGATGGTGAGGTGCCAGAGACTGGAAAAGGGGGATTGTCTTTTCTCCTTATCCTTGAAGTGTCAGCCACTTTAGTGCAACAATCTGTGTAAACACTTACCTTGTAGTCCCATGAAACAACCAACATTATTGATTTATAAAGGACAAACTATATCAGACTACCCATGTTTCTTTTTTTGATGGTCAGTGGTGTAATGGGATCGTAAAATAGGGGTACAGTCCCATTTTCTAATTTGTAGGGGTTTTGACATGTTCTGGCATGAGTATTGTAAGGAGGCTAGCATAATGATACTCATTGCATGCTGTCTGCCTGACTACTTAAAACCATACTTGGAATGTAAGAGCAGATAGGTAATTATACTAAGGATGTGTTGAATGAGGTTCTACAAGGACGACAACGACGAAAAACTAGTAATGTAGTCATATAAAGCGTAAGTCTTTCTTGCTGTAATTTCAGGAAACATGTAAGCTGGTTACTGTCACTCGGATATCAACAGTATGAACTGGGAAAATATGTGCTCATAACACTCCCTTGTGATCTGCTTTCTTAATCAAAACTACTATTACTATTTTGTTTTATATAATGTCTAAATTGTAGGAGGAAAAAGGAATTGATACTTCCTCTAGGAAAAAAAAATCTGAATGTTGTAACAGCTTAAGGAAGAATGCCTTTTATAGTCTTCTCTTTCTTCATTTGAATTCCTCTTAAGCATCCTAAAGTTCCTAGGCTAGGAGAGATTCTTAAAATGAGAGGATACTTGTGGCCCTTATGTATAAAGGGGTGGATAGAGCTGCTTTTCTGGACATCTACAAATACAAACAAAGGATGGAAAAAATGCAGCATGTATTGCTGTATAAATTCCTGAGAGCTTGTTCTCAAAATCATTGCATCGGTCATGAATTCATGGTGGGATCACATGCCTAAAAAAATGAGTTGTTATCTATAATGTTTGTAGACTACGTTTGCCCAGTGTCCCCTTACTTTACACATACAAAAAACATTAGGTAGCAAATTACTAAGTGTGAAGTATTTACATTTTAGTATGATTAACTTTCTAAGTTCAGAAATTATAGTGGAAGCTATAAAACTTGAAATGTGACTTTGAATATATTTAACTTTTAATCTTAAGATGCTCTGCTTTGAGAGTGAAGACCCTCTGATCCTATCTAATTCTGTAATTAATATTTCAGCTACTGATACCAACTTGTTTCTCCTCTCTAAGGTGGCAGTGGCGGCAAAGAATCCGACTGTATCTTGAAGGAACTGGTATTAATCCAATTCCTGTAGATTTACATGAACAGCAGCTAAGCCAAGAGCAATACAGCAGGGCTCACATAAATGAAAGATTCCAGGATCAAAGTAAGTTGAAATCTGAGATAAAAATTTGTAAGAGTTGAAGTATTTGAAGTCTGGTTGCTGTATTTGAGAGGCAGGGAGGGACAGCTCTCGTAAGCTGAAGACCCAGATTAAGTTATACTGTGGTATAAAGTCTAATTCTTTGAACTTTGTCAGAAATGTCTGTTAAGTCACTGTCAGTGAATTTAATTAGGCTGGAAGAGTGACTGACAGAAGACTTGACTTCAATCTGTCTGGTTGCCCATGAGTTTTCAGGGAAAGCAGTGTCTGAAGATAAGTTGCTTTATTGACCTTGGTACAAATATTTGTAGCCTCCAGTAAAGGACAGTGACTAGCTACAGACTAAATAAGTGAAAAATTGAGTCCTTGAAGAAA